TAAACCGAACTGGATAACGAATCGGTCAAGGGTCTGGTTCTCGGGTCAAACAATTCAATCGTTCAAACCGAACAGATGGCCCATTCTAACAAAAAAAAATTAAAAAATGGTCAAACCATTGGATGGTTCGAATGATTTGACCGGATGGGTCAACGGTTTGCTGACCAAATCAACGTTTTTGGTGAAATAACGGTTTTAGGGTAAAACGGAACCGATCACCTGACCGACTCCCGATTTTTTCGGTCTGATCCGGTTTTAAAAACCATGGTTTGTTTTACATTTCTTGACATCTTCCCATGTATTCAATTGATGGTGGTGATGCGGAGACTAACCGCTCACAAATCACAATGCTATGCCCCTTGTAATTTTATCAGTCCATTAGTCCAGCTTGATTAAATAATAAAAATGGATCGAGTGATTAGATGAAATACTTTAACTATTAGGGGACGTTCTTTTTGGATTTTGAGAGGGGGAAAGTTGGTCAATGGGATTTTGGTTCCCATTGACCAAGAATCCCATGTTCTTTTTTCATATTTATGTGAGGACCATGGAAAGTTTATTTTCTTAGGTATCACTTACCCTAGGTGATACCAATCTCCTAAGTGGGTACTTTCCCACCTAGGGGGAAAGTTGCCAACACTTGAATGGGACAAAAATGCATTTTTTAATAATGGATTTTTATGGCTAAAACAGTCATTGCCTAATTTACATGAGAAATAAAAGAATATGAGTAAATGTACTTATCCAAGTAAGTGTTTCCTAGGAAAAACTTACCTAGATAATTGCATTTACCTAGGTAAATAACATACTGAAAAGCGAACGAGGCCTTAGTTTTCAATTGCATTTGAGAACACAGATTCACATATGTTAAAATGGAACCACATTTGATTATTAAGGAAAAAAGAAATAACTTCATCACAAGAATTTAATATTTAAGAAATGAGCCAAATTTCTTCTTTTGAGAACAAGAATGGGCCAATTTTAAAAAGAATCAAGGTCCAAAATACATTGGATATCCATAACTTTGCAATGTGACCCATATATGTTCTTCACCTTTTTTTTATTGTCAAATCCACATACCTTTACTTATATATGACATCACTACAATCCGTCATTCGTCGTACCCCATTGTTATTCTTCTTTCTAATTTTAATATGGGAAAATCTATGATAGGAAAAAGATATGTTATGGAAAGAGTTTTGATCGATCTAAACCCATTCATAAATTTTGATAAATAATACCTTATTCACTACCACATTTCAAATTGTTTATTGGTCAGTTGTTTTTTGGATATCATATCTTTTCCATATCATAGTCGAACCCTTTTAATATTTATTTTTTTTATTTGAAAGATAAATAAAAAAACACACAAACAATACCGAGTACTTAGAAGGGAGTCCAACTATGCTACTTGCAAAATGCTAGCCATCCTTAACGCATGTATTACAATTTTGTTTTTTGAAAACCTCCATTTATGGACACACATAACACATGACACAAAGTTGTGATATATAAAACGAATTGGGATCTGCTCCTTACAAAGCACGCCTCACACCGAATTCATCCCACCTTGTATTAAGAACATCTCTTCATGAATAATAAATATAAGTACGGGGTACGAGAGATGCTTCTTGTGAGGTTGGTGTGAAGCATTCTCTGTGAGGAGCAGATCTGGACTCGGTTAAAATTTGTGTCATTTCAAATTATTCGTTCAGCTATCAATAAAGGCAGGTCCCACATATGCAATATCAGAGTTTGGATATGCGTAGAAACAGACTAAGGGGGTGTTTGATAATGTAAATGGTTAGTTTTTTTCTTAAAAAACAACTCTGCAAAAAACTGTATTATTTTTGGTAACATGCCAATTGCTTTGGTTGTAGGAAACAAATTGTCGATTTGTTGATGGCACATCTAATATTGTGAACCACTGACGTTTTGTTTATGTTTAGTGTTTCTAGCCTGGCTTCCACATTTTGCATATAGCTGAACTTTAGCAAATATCGACATAGAAAAATGTCCTCATCATGAAAAAAGAACAAGATACATTGGTTTGTGATTCACTTCTCCCCCTTTTCTTTATCTAGTCTTAAATTTAATAATAATTTTAATATGCACATAATAAAAACATTAAGGGTCCATTTGGTTTTGGGGAATAGAAGTTTGGAAATAAAATCAAAATGGTTCGTTCCAATTTGTCATTTGGTTGGGCAAAATGGGATTTTGATTCCTAGCATTTTCCCATTCAAGGAAATGGCCATTCTAGCCTTGAGAATGATAATCTCATTCTAACTTGTCAAAAAATAAGACAAATGACTTAGGGTCTATTTGGTTCATGAGAATATGGATCTAAAATTGGAATTGGAATGGCCCAATCATTTGGTTGGGTGGAATGGTATCCTGATTCCTATTTCTAGTGGAATGACATTCCCCCATTTGAATGAATGGTTATTTCAGCCTCCCCCCTGGTAATGAGAATTATGTTTTATTTGGCCAAATAAAAAAGATGATTTAAAAACCGCCAAACCCTTTTTCTCTTAACCCAACGCCAACCCTCTTTGAGAGTGATGAATATTTTATGGAATCCAATTCCAACGGCAAACCAAATGGACCCTTAACTCCCCCCCCCCCAGCCCTATTTCTCTTTCTTTATGCCAATCCTCCTTAGGAGTCATGCATATCTTATGGAATTTGATTCCAACTCCCATCTAAACCAAATAAACGGGGAATATGTCATTCCAATTCTAGGGGATTTCAATTGCAAACCAATCAAATGCCAAGTATTAATGTAATATACAACTAATATATGTTATAATATTACACATATAGTTGTAATATTACATATATATATATATAATATTACATGTAATAATTTGCCTAAAATGACATAAACCCATAATCTAAGTTGACTTATGTTGTGTTTGGTAGCACTGCCCTCTCTACTTGAGATATCAATTTGACTTTTCTACAAACAGCCACACATGCATGCTTTTTTCTAAGGTTGCCTGTTTCAAGCTTTCAAGTATAAATAATCGGATGCCAATTTGTATTGATCAATCATTCAATCTAATGATACCAACTACCAAACACAACCTTAAATTAGTGGTTAGTAGGTTCATAATGGGTAATATTGTAGTTTTTCACTTCATTTGTAATAAAAAAAATTAATTCATAACCATCAATGTAACTAATGAATTATTTAATTTCATATATACATATTAAGGTAATGAATGGGTTTGCAAGCGTGTATGTTTGACTCAAAATCATGTTATATTGGAATAAAAACTTTATACAAATTTAAAATGGGTTCACTACAAATTATAATATCATACTACATAAGTAGCGTATTATTTAGTATTAATGCAAATTAAATATCTATATGTCACCCCAATCTAGAGTATGGATTATGCCGTATGACCTGAACCCAACTATACCAATCAGATCAGACCAGGCCAAACCAGACCGGATCGGACCAGTATGAGAGTTGTAATTTGGCTGCAAAAATCAATATAGAAAAAAATAAAAGTCATTTTATTATAACTTTAGTGCTAGCTTTAATGATTAATAAAATGTCTATATTTATGTATTTAATCAATCTCTAATTGTAAAGGTTGAAAATGTACATTCAATTATTATTTTTCACCTCATTTAATCCCCTCTCATTAAGTCTTATACTTAAGGTATTAAATCATATTTTCTTTTATTAAATAATATATTTTAAGTTATTTTTCACTAATAATGCTACTAATTAGATCTATGTCAATATTTTTAACAATATAAGCCCATATAATTTAAAATTGACTAAAAAACAAAACAATTTTTATCTAAGTGGTGGCTAAGCAATTCAACCATCCGAATTAAATTAAGCAACCTACAAAGTCATAGTTAAGTAATAAAATTTTTAAAATAGAAATAAATATAAAAAATATAGAAAAAATTAGACACATTTATGATATTTTTATTAATCAAATTAAAAAAAAAAGTGTAATAAACAAGAATTATTTTTATTGATAATGAAAAATAAAATACATAATTTAGAATTAACAAAAAATAAAATATAAAAATTGATAATAAATAGTTCAACTTTTGGGTTAAATGTGTTAACCTTTAATGTCATAAATAAATAATAAAAACTAATAAAATATAAAAATACGAAATTGAAAAAAATGCATACGTTTTGCAAAAAAAAAAACACTCAAGAACATGTATAATATCATATATTTATCATAAATAAAAATTAAGTGTGATATATTATAATTATTTTTGCACACAAAAATGCAAAAAATTGTAGAAAAAATTGAACATATCTATAATTCTATATTTACGCCATTATTAAAATATGGATAAGATTGTGGAACTTTCTTTTGGCTAAAATAATTATTTTTGAATTTAGTCCCTATTTAATTATAAATTAAACTACTAATTTTCACTTCATTCAATTCATTCTATTTAAATCTTATATTTTTTTGATAAAAAATACATAAAAATTTATAGAAAATTTTGAATAAATTATTACTATCGTTATCATCGTTTAAAATTACAGGTGCAAAATACATATATATACATACTTACTGTGACTGAAAAAATCCGGATCTACTGATCACAAGACGCTGGCCACAAGTTCCTAAAACTACACATCGGGAGACATCTCTTGTTCATTCGTGGAAGATGTTCTGGATGTGCGGCTGTAGTATCTTGTAGTAGATGTGGCCAGCGCTTTTCTCTTTTCTACCAAAAAAATCCGAACCCGAAAAAAAACTTCCGGTTAAGCATTGATTCCAAGAGATAAGGGTATCTTAGTAATTTAACATGAAAGCGACGTTTTTCTTTATCCACCACCACCCTCGTAGGAATCTCGTACGGGCTCAGAAAACATGGAAAGACAGCCGTCAGATCTATCATTTCCAATCAATTAAACAATCGCAGCCGCCCACCTCGTTTATTGAAAAACCAACCGCCGAGATCGCGCCTCGCCGCTTCGCCAACGGCCATTTAGTGAGTTCGGAGTTCCTGAATTCCATTACAGGTAAGAGTTAAGAGGGAACGCTTTCAAAGAAAAGCAGCTAAAGAGACGGCAGTTTTGCCACCGTCGAGACGAACCAACGCCTCTCCTTTGAGTACTTCGCCCCGAAGTTGCTCGACGTTTACTCCCAGAAGAAAGTGTGAATAATCCCCTGACGTCGGCGAATTTCTGGTTCACTAGGCTTTCACGGGATTGTCTACGCATCGTTTTTTCCTATCGAGGCGTCTTGGAGTTGTCCTCCGAAGAATTTGCCTCTTCTTTGTTTTTGTTCTTCGAACTTGAAGCACTGCGATTCGTTTCAAAGATTTTCGATCCTGCAATTGGAGAAGATGCATTGAAATCTATTCAGTTTGATGCGAAGGTTAGTTCTTCCTCGCTGGATACTGTTTTAGAGGTCGTGATTAGTCTCAGCAAGGCACGGGTATTCTGATTGAAGTTTTAGGATGTTTTCGTAATTTGGAGAAAGTGCATATGAGATTTTTTTAATGCTTTTAAGCACGGTGTGGGGTTTCTTTATCTTCATTTTTTTGCTTCTCTGATGGATCGGAATTTCATTCTTTTATCTTTACTGTTGTTTTTTTCGTCTTGTTTATCTGCTTCTCTTCTAAAGGGAAATTTGATTTTGTTGTTGTGGTGGTCCGGTGTTTTGAAGGGTTAATAGCTCTAGAATGGTCTCTTCCGGCTTTCTAAATTTCGTTACCATTATTTATTCTATTTGAATTTTCGGTATGGTTGGTTGCAAAATTCATGTTATTCGTTAGATGCTTGAGATTTAGGAATAGCTCATTCATTCGGAAGATTCAGAAGTGGTTTCCAATTAAGATGGAAACCATCGGGAGCTTTTTTTTCCTTTATCTGTCTGATCTCCATTACTATTTGTTGTAAATATAACTGGAAATGTTTCCCATGATTGATGAAGTAAACATCGTTTGTCTAGTGTTCAGTCCCCAGGGTCTGATGATGATTTTTAGAATTCTAATTTCCTGGGTCCCGATATTGTATACTAGCTCCACTCTAATAAATTGGATGAAAAGTTAGAAAGGAATTTGAGACATTACTAGTTAGTTAAACAAAACAGTAGATGGGGCCAGCTTGCATTTTTTTCTCTCTCCTGGTGATTAAAACTCCCCTTTAGCTCAAGAGTTAGTTTTTGTATAAGAGTTTCCCTTTAGCTTGCTTTAAAAGTTGGAGCTTCAAACTTCAAACAACAAGAAAGATGTTTAGTTGGTCATTTTTCCTTTGAATGGAGCTGGAAATTTGAAGCAATATTTTAAAAGTGTCATTCATCTCATGGGAAGTCATTTTTAGGTTTCTAATTTATGCTGCAAACACATGGAGTTATGTAGATGAAAGAAGTCATTTATTATATATAATGATCTAGTGATGAGATTGATAGGTTGATAGTGAAAGATAGGTCTCAAGACTTGTCAAGAGTGGGGCGAGGAATTTCTTGTTTTGCTAAAGAGGCACAAAGAATAAGCAAAGCAAGCAAGCCTAAACATGACCCTAGTGGGAATGCTTTTCATTTGTCAACAAGGGACTTACAAAGGTGAAGAAGATAGTTATAATTTAAAAATAAAAGGTAGATACTGATCATATAATATGCATGAAGAGTGGCAACCATAGGGGCTTAGTTAGTTATGAGCAAGGTTTTTAAAGGCTAAAGGTGGTTAGGAGTAGGCATCAAATAATAAAAAAATTACTGATGTAATGTATAAAAAAAATAAAGAACTGAGAAATCACATACTTTAGTTCATACATATCCTGTCTAGTTTATCATCTAATGATTGGCAACTGCAGGTTTGTGACCTTCCTGAATTGTTTTTCTAAATTCAAAATAATATTATATTTAAAACAACCAATACATTCATAAAAAACAACTAATACAAATACTCACATTTTTACAAATCAAAGCTCCAAATAAACTATGCCCATTTACAATCCAAATGAAGGAGACGTAATATCCAGTATACATACAAGGGTGGGTTTTGAAAGCAACAAATATACCTAGTGAGAAAGTAGCCAACACCATAACTATATGGTGCTACAGAAATGAAGTAAAAAAATTTAAGTGGCTGACAAGGAATATGTCTGTTAGCACACAATGGGTGGGGAGATCAACAAATGCTTTGGCTGATGGCTTAGCTAAACAAGGGACAATTAGGGAAATTTTGTTTTGGGCTCAGCTGTAATGTTTATCTTTTCCTTTTCCTTTTAAGTTTCTTTGTAATCAGTTGAGAGAGGCTGCAGCTCATGCCTCTCCATGGGCTGTTGTATGAGATCTCCATACCTATTTAATGTAGGGATTCTTGCACAAAAAATTATATGAACCTTTAGAAAAGAAAATACCTATTTATTCTTCACGGTAAAAGATGAAATTTTAGTAAAAATAATCACAAAGGTTTTAATACTATTTAATACTTTCCAATATTTTTGATATTTCCCAATTTATAGGCAAGATTTATGAAATTTCCCATTTGCACATGCAAAATGCCTACATAGTTGAAATGACCAACCATGCTTCCAATCAAATGAATTGATTAGTGAAGAAGCTTTTACTTTGTATCTCAATTCGAGGTTTAAGTTTCGTAACGTATCGGTCTATATCATCCAATATCGGTCTGTATCGGTTTTAAATATAGTCCGATACGCTATATGTATCAGCTGTGATACAATGCAAATTTAATATACTTTTCTCATTTAAGCAACTTTTCAATTTCAAATTTAATTTCCCTCTCTCTCTCTCTAGTAACTTTTAAATTCAAATTTAATTAACATCATTTTCAATTAATTGTTACATTTAATGACATGCCCTCCTAAGTGCTATATTTAATGACACGCCATTAAAGGCATTATTCAAATTTCAAATTGAATCAAATACTACATTTAAAACTGTATTTAAGGCAAACATTTCGCCACACCGTTTGTGCTTGTCAGATTAACATGCATTTTAATTCTTACTTAAACTCTCTTGTTAGTGAATGGCTGTCAGTAAATTCTATTATTAAAATTTATATACTAATAAATATTAATATAAATTATGATTTTTAAAAATTAAGGTATAGTATTTATGTGTAGATACACATTTTTAGCTCTTCCATTATTTTTCAATGGTTCTCAATTGTGTCACGACATCTTGCACTTTATACAAACCATTAAAATATGTTTTTTAAATTACCAAAAAAAATAAAGTTTGTATTTATGTTTAAAAACTTATTTATAGTTATATAAAACTCACATTTCTTGTTATTACTATAGTTTTTAGGATTTATATGAGTTTCCTAGAGTATCCATCTCTATCTTGATTTGTTCCATATTCATGCATACCCAAGGCGTATCTTGATACATCTCTTTAAATTACCTCTCCTATACACCTTGCATTTCCTATACTTGTGAACCTTGTGTCTTTTATCCACTAGTGGTTTCAATTTTATTCCTACACTGGGGATGAAAGTTCATAATTATTTTCTCTTTCAGTAATTTTTCTTTTTTCATTCCTGCAATCCTGCTTTTGAATGCTCTTGCTTCCTTTACACACTTTATTCTCTTCTAAGTAAAATTAACCAAAAGAAGGCTTTTTTTATTAGATGTCGAAAGAAAAACTATTTTGGTTTTCATGTATTTGATATATTTCCAGAGTACAAAGTTTATTTTGCACTTTGATAAGAAATCATTGACCTATGTACTTCTTGCAGGTCAAGGATCTATGCTTAAATTTTTGTGTATCTATCAAGATCACAGTTGCTTGCTCATTTTTGGATCCTTCAGTGGATGTTAGTGGTTATGCGCTGGATTTTTGAAGAGCAGCCATAGATCCAGTGAAGTGAATTGTTTGTTTCAGATATTTGGAGGGGATTATACGATTGAAGTTGCAATTATTAGGAATTCAGGTTTATTTGTTGGAAAAGACAACCTTGGTATTGAAAATTTTACATAAAGCAGATGATTTCCTATGACCAAGAGAGTCTATTCCATTTTTTTGATGGTGAACCATTTCCTAATTCCATGTATTGTGTAACTGTCACTCCAAATGATGTGGGCTTCTATGATGAGCAGCAGTATGGCAGAGAAAGTCATTATGATTTGGTATGTAGCAATATGGAGAATGATGAGATTATTCCACATGCTCTTCAGGAACAACTGTCTCAACTTACAGTTGTAGAAGAAGCGTCGGGATCTACAACTTCAGGGGAGGAACATTTCCAATCAGTTCTTGGCCAGGATTGGTTTGGCCCATCTATGAGAAATTATAATTCTGGTATTTGGAATTTGGAAACTGTCTTAATTTCTTCAGTAGTTTGGGATTCTTTTTATCCATTGTGATCATATAATTATACTCTCATGTAGGGCATGAGTGTGGCCAGGAAGACATAGATGATGCAGGAGCCTCTAGTTCATGTTCTAGTCCTGCAGAAGCACCATACGATGGGGAGGAGTGGTATTCACTTGAGATAACGGATGAATCCTCACTGGATGGAGAAGTAGGGAAGAGGTTAAACCAGATGGTTCCAATTCCTGTAAGTTTACCTTCTTTGGGATTGCACCTTCTCCAATATCAATTATGAAGTTCCTTTTATAGATGTTTGAATGTTTATTTTGTTAACCATCATTCTTTCATCCTTTTTGGTGTACATCCATGTTTCTGATTGTTTACACCTGGACATGGGTATGGAAAACTAATACCATACTTTTAGTTTTAAGAGACTTATTTTTTTTTTCTATACTTGTGCCCTGCCACACTAATTGTAAGTTCTAGTGTTAAGTTTCTGATGGTAAACTTTGTTAAAATACAGATTGGTATGTTCTTGGGATAAGGCTGTGTTTGAGTTAAGCTGAATACACCCATTGATATATTTTTTGTTGAAGAAAGAATTAACTGAACCTTACTTATCTAAAACAAAGGAAAAAAAAAAAGAGAAATCACTTGATAAGATTCATGGGGAGGAAACCAATGAATAGTAAACTTTTGAGAATTATTTTTTAGTTGACTTTTTGTTGATGTTAAAAATTATAAATAGTAAAATAATTGATCAAAAAAATTATAAATAGTAAAATAGAAAAAAAAATTGATATAGTAATTCAAATATAATAGTTGCATATGTTTTATGCATGGACTTAATAGAAAATAAAATAATAATGTCTTTGTGCATGTTTTAATTTGTAAAAATCTTTATAATGTGTCTTGAACTCTTGATTGATGCATTTATCAATAAGATTGTATGATATATATATACATCCTACTATATTAATTGTATTATACTTCTTCATGTATACCATTAAAATATAAAATTACTATGTATTTATACATTATTTGCAACTATTTTGACATTAAACTTAATCTTATTAATATATTTATGGAATTTGTATGCATTTTTTTATAAGCAAAGAATTTATTTATTTAATTAATAAATGAAGGCAGGTTACAGATTCTTTAGCTACTCTGTGTAGAGAACACTGATGTGGACCCCACTGTGTTCATATGGCAGCATATTTTTGTTAGTTTATTTTTTGTTAGTTATGTCAGTACTAGTTGGTAGTTATTTCAGTTTGTTATTATAGCTTGTTATTTCAGCTTTATTATTAGTTTATTTGCCATGTAAGCAATAAGGGCAATTCAGCCCTTTTACAATTAGTCAACATATATAAATATTAAGAGTGGGTCGGCAGATCAACTGATCAACCCTCTCTCTCTTTTCAAAATCTCTTCGTGTGCTTCTTCTCTTCTGAAATTTATTCTTTCTTTTCTTTTGAATTCAAGACTGATTGTAGTCTTGATCGACTACTTGGTATCAAAGCCGACCTAGGAGCTCTTATGTTAGTCTAATTAGATTGACTACATGAGAATCCCCTAGGTTTAGAAGTTTTTCAACAAAGAAGAAGGATTAGCTGATTCTTGGAGGTTACTGGTAGTGTGCGGCTGCTACTAAGAAGATTGTAGAAGGCTGGGAGAGTTCCAGTAGTCAGGAAGAATCAAAAAAGGCTTCGGATCCTCAACATTAGGGTTTTGCATCAGACAGAAGGTGGCGGCCAGAGATTTTCTTTCATAAAGTAAGTTTTTTCTTGAGAATAACCTTGGAAAAAATCATCTTGGTCTATTCTGAGAGGTGCGGCTAGAAAATCTTTGTTTTTTCCTTTAGGGTTTTGAGAGAAAACCCTAAAATTCAGAACTGTTGTTGGTTTCAGATCAGATTTTGAACTGGTTTCATACAGAATTCTGTTTTCTTTGTTCTTTGGAAGACCTAGGCCGGCTGTTATCAGTTGTTTGGGTGTTGTTTTCTATTACAGTAGTTTAAAAGGTTTTTTTATTATTAATTCTTGACCAAGAATGGAGTTCAAGAATCAGGGGGAAGGTGTTTTTGGGACTAGCAATTCTGGTAACATGTCTGATAATGCCTTTCAGATTACAACTGTGAAGTTTGATGGATCAAACTACTTAGAATGGGCTCAATCGGCCATGATGGCCATTGGGGGTAGAGGAAAACTTAGCTATTTGTTGGGAGATGTGAAAGAACCAACTAAGGAGGACCAAACTTATACCAAATGGGTTCAAGAGAACTATTTGGTTATGACATGGCTGTGCAACTCTATGCAGCCACATATCAGTTGGAACTATTTGTGGGCAAAAACAACCAAGGAAATCTGGGATGCCATGAAAGAGACTTACTCCCAACCCCTTAATGTTGCTAAGGCTTATGAATTGAAGTGTGAGGTTAACAACCTTAAGCAAGGAGAGAAGCCAGTCTCGGTTTACTTCTCTATCTTGAAATCTCTGTGGCATGAAATTGACCACCTAGAAACACTTGAGTGGGAAAGTCAGAAGGATGCACAGACTCATAGAAAGCAAGTTGAAACTAATAGAGTTTTTGAATTCCTAGCTGGTCTGAATCCTGACTATGATATTGTGAGACAACAAATACTAACAAGGGACAGTGTGACCTTACCTCAAGCCTATTCTTTAGTGCATAGTGAAGAGACTAGGAGAAAGGTTATGATGCAGCATCAGCCCTTCCCACCAACCTTGGCAACAGTTAAACCTAAGTCTGGGGGTGATACAGAGAGGGATATAAAGAAGGAAGATAAGCGGGATCTAGTGTGTGAACATTGCAAGAAACCTAAGGATACTAAAGACACATGTTGGAAGCCGCACCCTCATCTAGTTCCAACAAAACTGAGGAACAAAAGGGGTAATGCTCATATGGCTGTTATACCGATTCTGCATCCTCATTGGGCACAAAAGGCACGCCTCTAGACACCATAGCTGCTATTTGGGCTGCCCTAACTCAGTTGGAAAAGGAAGTTGGGAATTCAGCTCAGTCATCTCAACCACTATCAGCTCCTCCCACATCAGCCTTTGCTCATTCAAGTACTCGGGCCTCAGCTTACCATTCTTTAGCTCTAGGTAACACTGAACATTGTTGGGTAATAAACTCCGGTGCATCTAACCATATGTCTAGGTTGCCATCATTGTTCACTACCTATCACTTATCTTCTGGTAGAGATAAAGTGTCAATTGCTGATGGTTCCCTTGTTCCCATTTCTGGCAAGGGAGACATCAAGTTGTCTAATACCATTTCCTTATCTTTAGTTCTACATGTTCCTAAGCTTGATACTAACTTGCTTTCAGTCAGTAGTATTACAAAACATCAGAATTGTTCAGTAATCTTTTTCCCTGACTGATGTGTTTTTCAGGACTTAGAGACAAGGAAGGTGATTGGGACTGACCGTGAGACGAATGGGATCTATATGTTTGGAGAGTTCTCATTGGGAAGATCGTGAAGATAGGAAGTCTTTTGTTTCTCAGTCTGTTAGTCAGGTTATGCTTTGGCATAATCGGTTGGGTCATTTATCCTTTCGGTCTTTGAAGAGTTTGTTTCAAAATTTGTTTGAGTCTGTTCAAATGTCAAATTTGAGATGTGAGAGTTATGAGCTTGCAAAGCATTGTAGAACATCTTATTCCTTGAGTAATAAAAGTAGTAATTCTTTTAATATTGTGCATACCGATGTTTGGGGCCCGTATCACATCACTTCTATAGGGGGATACAGATATTTCTTGTTGTTTGTTGATGACTATACCCGTTTTTCTTGGGTTTACCTTATGCATTCTCGAGATGAGGTTCCTGCTTTGACCCAGATCTTTCATCAAATGATTTTAACCTAGTTTCGGGTCAAAATCAAAATCTTCAGATCCGGTAATGCAAAAGAATACTTTACCAACCCATTAGCCTCTTATTTGCTTGATCATGGGATTATTCACTAGAGTACTTGTCCTTATACACCACCGCAGAATGGGGTTGTTGAGAGGAAGAATAGGCACATATTGGAGGTGGCTAGAAGCATTATGTTTAACTCCAATGTGCCTATTCGTTTTTGGGGAGATGCTATTCTTACAACAGTGTATCTCATTAATCGAGTTCCTTCACGGGTTCTTGACATGAAGCCTCCATTTAGCCTTCTTTACCCCGATAAGGAATTGTTTACTGTTCCCCTTAAAACCTTTGGTTTCACTTGCTTTGTTCAAATTCTTGGACCTCATCGTTCCAAATTTGATCCTAAGGCCTCCAAATGTGTTTTCCTTGGTTATGCACAAACTCAAAAGGGTTATTGCTGCTATGAACCTACTTCTGGGAGGAAATTTGTCTCGATGGATGTTACTTTCTTTGAGGAGGTACCCTATTACCCTAGGGTTTCTCCTCAGGGGGAGAGTAGTGAGAGTGGGGTTAACTCATCAAAAGTTCCTTTACCTGTTCCATTGAGTGATGAAGGATGTAATGGGGAGGGTTGTCAGAGGTGTCAGGATTTGAGAGTCTATCATAGGCGGTGGAGGCAGGTTGATTTCAGTCATCAGCAGTCCAAGCCAACCCTAGTTCCTTCTACAGATCCAGATCCAGGTACCACAATCCCTTTATCAGATCCAGGTTCCACTAAGATACCTTCCATTGTTGCTACTTTACCTCCTTTGGATGACCTTGACCTCCCCATTGCAGTCCGTAAAGGCAAACAACGTTACACCACATCCACAACTCACTGCATTTCCCAGTTCTTGTCTTGTGATCGCCTGTCCCCCTCTTCCAGGTCCTTTCTCACATCCATTGCTGATATTCCTATTCCTAGAATAGTGCAGGAAGCCTTATCAATTCCTGAGTGGAAAGTTGCAATGAAGGTTGAAATGGATGCTCTTCTGAGGAATAATACTTGGAAGCTAGTTGACCGGCCTAAAGGAAGTAAACCGGTTGGATGTAGATGGGTATTTACTGTGAAACATAATGTTGATGGTTCCATTGAAAGGTATAAGGATCGGTTAGTTGCAAAGGGATTTACTCATACTTATGATATAGACTACTTGGAGACTTTTGCTCCAGTAGCAAAGATGACCACTATTAGAGTTTTGTTATCCCTTGCAGCCAATTACTCTTGGCCCTTGTTCCAGATGGATGTTAAAAATGCCTTCCTCAATGGACACTTACAGGAAGAAGTCTACATGTAGTTACCTCCTGGATTTTATGATGTAGAGACAGGAAAGAAGGTTTGCCGGTTGAATAAAGCCTTGTAAGGACTAAAGCAGTCCCCCAGAGCTTTGTTTGATAGATTCAGACAAGCCCTTGAAAAATTCGGCTATGTACAGGCCCAGCCAGACCATGCATTGTTCATTAAAAGAGTGGACTCTTCCTTGACTTTGCTTGTTATATATGTGGATGATATTGTAGTGATGGGGAATGACAACAATAAGATTGAGTCTCTTAAACAACTCCTTCATCAAGAGTTTGAGGTGAAAGATCTGGGAGAGCTACAATACTTCTTGGGTATTGAGGTTGCTAGATCTAAACATGGGATTTTTATTTCTCAAAGGAAGTATGTTCTAGATGTATTGGAAGAAACTGGAAAGTTGGGTGTTAAACCTACAGATACACCTATTGAACAGAATCACAAGAACAGTGCAGAGGGTGGAGAGCCACTTGAAGACAAAGCTATGTTTCAACGGTTAGTTGGAAAACTCCTCTATCTTTGTCTCACACGACTGGACATCAGTTATGCAGTCAACGTTGTTAGTCAATATATGCACTCCTCCTATAACTACTCACCTCCTTACAGTTGAGTGGATATTAGCATACTTGAAGAGATGTCCTGGTAGAGGTATATTATTCAAGAATAATGATCACATGAAGAGAGAGGTTTATACAGATGCTGATTGGGTTGGGAGTGTTGATGATAGAAGGTCTACCTCTGGATATTGTGCCTTTGTAGGAGGTAACCTTGYCTCCTGGAGGAGTAAGAAACAAAGTGTTGTTTCTCGTTCTAGTGCTGAAGCTGAATATAGATCTATAGATAATGGTGTGGCTGAAATCCTATGGCTGAAGTCATTATTTGAGGAGTTGGGTATTGCTTATGAGAAGCCCTTAATGTTGTATTATGATAATCAGGCTGCTATTAATATAGCTCATAATCCGGTACAATATGACAAAACTAAGCATATCGAAGTCGACCGACATTTTGTCAGAGAAAGGGTTTCGTCTTAAGAAGTGTGTCTCCCGTATATCACCTCCAATATGCAGCTCGCAGATCTTCTCACCAAGGTTGTTCCAAGGAAGAAGTTAGAGGCAGACCTATGCAAGTTGGGAATGACAAATATTCATTCCCAACTTGAGGGGGAGTGTAGAGAACACTGATGTGGACCCCACTACTGTGGTCTCCACTGTGTTCGTATGGCAGCATATTTTTGTTAGTTATGTCAGTGTTAGTTGGTAGTTATTTCAGTTTGTTATTACAGCTCGTTATTTCAGCTTTATTATTAGTTTATTTTCCATGTAAGCAATAAGGGCAATTCAGCCCTCTTACAATTAATCAACATATATAAATATTAAGAGTGGGTCAGCAGATCAACTGATCAACCCTCTCTCTCTTTTCAAAATCTCTTCATGTGCTTCTTCTCTTTTCTCCCTCTCTTCTTCTTCTTCTTCTTCTTCTCTTCTGCCAGAATTTGTATGCATTTCCCTAGTGTATCCAAGTGTTTCCATATTTTTCATCTGTATCCATAGTTTCCAAAGTGTATCCACATCCGTATCCAAGTTGTTAGATATGGTACCTGAAAAAGGCTCAAGTTGTGAGCTTAAACCCACTATATTTGGCATCAAAATCACCGAAACGAGAGAGCTGATAGACCCCTTTACCAATAACTAAGCCTGCAGACCTCACACAATCTAGAAGAGCCTTAAAAACGGCATGGAATCTAAGTTCCCTTGCCCAAACTCCATTGAACCAAGGAGAAACACAGGGAAGATCAGGAAAATGTGTAATAGAACCCTAAAAATACTTCTGATTAAAACTTTTAGTGGTGATTTGATTTGGCTCATTGATTTGAAATCACCATAACACTTGATTCAAGTTGTTGTTGCAGAGAGAATAGGTGACAAGAGTAAGATATCCTTCTTGCATCAAGTCCAACCTGTATGAGAAACTTACCTCGATAGTTGATGTCTCCAGGTTAGCTCTTCATGGCTCTAATACTAGGGAAATGAATCAGATTGGATTCAAATTAGGGTATATCCAAATCCGATCCAATAGAAAATCCATAATGATCCAAATTCGAATTTGACTCTGTCAGATTCTCTAACCTTTTATTCAAATTCAATTTGGATCATTTTATCGGATAGGGTTAATTCAAATCCCACCTGATTTTGAAACGGATCCTATTTTATGATCTGATCCGATTCGAAAATCAGATACGGGGCATCCAAATCTGGTAAAATCAGATAGGATTCGAATTTGGATCAGATCATGATCTGGTCCGTTTGCACCAGTCTGATACCATATCAGTTGCACTAAAGTTTCATGAGTAGCATAGAGAATACAAGAGTTAAGAGGTGTATTGAAATGAATACAGAGTATCCCCACCTCCAAAAGGGTTTTATATTATAAGGGAAAAACTTACGTACTATTACAAGAATGCCCGTATTAAAGTTATGTACATAGACAAGATAACATGTAACAAGGTTATACAAATACAATAATACAAAGTAAAATAAACATCACTTACAATGTTGTCCACCAGGGCTTCATTGAAGCCTCATGTTATTAAAACCCAATAGGGTTGTTAATGGGACCAATCAAACTGACCAACCCGATCCAATTCGACCCGAGGACCGAGGTGGTCAGTTTTCAAGCATTGTTGGTCGGTTTCGATTCTTAAAATAGGATAACCCGAGAGATCTGGTTGGTTTCGGTTTGATTATATGTAAACTGACCAAAACCAAACTGACCCACCATATTGTAATAATAAAGTCCAGCTATATTTAGGTATTAATTATTGCCTAAAATAGTTATTGCTTTTTAATGCAAATTGCCTTTTAATACAATGGAAGAAATGGAAAGATTCTTCACATCCTCCTATAGTTCATAGCTGTCTCTCTCCCTCATGCCACATGTCCCAATTCCATATTCCTATTATCTCATTAATGAATTATAGTATTAATATGAAAATAAACTTTCATATTTTTTCCTAGTTTCCAAAATAGAGTGACACAACTTTTGATGCTCTAGTCTAGAGACCAGAGTCTATTTCTCTCCAAGACTCCAACATGAACATATGGCTGACCACCCGACCAAACCGAACTGAACCAACCAAAACCAATTCATCATGTTTGGGTCAGTTTTCAAGAAAGTTAGGCCGGTTTTAGGTGGTATAATCCTCAACCTGAGCTGGTCAGTTCGATTGGGTAGATTGCATGTAACCGAACTGAACCGACCTGTGTACAGGGTTTGCCAAGCCAGATTCTTACTTAGAATTTAAAGGGGTTAACAGAGAGGATATTACGGATGACCTTTGATTAAATATAGGATGTGTTAATGATAATAATTAAAATGTATTTTCATGCTCTTTCGTTATAGGATGTGTTAATGATAATAACTAAAATGTATTTTCATGCTCTTTCGTTATAGGATGTGTTGATGATAATAACTAAAATGTATTTTCATGCTCTTTCGTTATTCTAATGTATGTTTCATGTTTGTTTATGGGGTGAAATCTCTTTGCCAGTACTTGTAATCTTTTTTTTTTTCTATTACAATGAAAATTTACTTACCATTAAAAAAAGCAGTTTTCCATGCCACCATTATCAAAATTTTGAGAATGTTCTGTATGGGTATTCTTTTTTTTTTGTTTTTTTAAACATTATTCATGTTTTTTTATCCAAGGGGCTACACAACGGGGGTAGCCCATCCCCCAAACCCATAACCCCCCCCCCCAACCCAGGTGCAGGCGGGATTCGATCCCAAGTCTCTGCTACAACCAGCAAGAGACCTTACCAACCAGCTGGTTGGCACCTTGCAAGGTTCGATATTCTTATAACCAAACTCTTATTGGAAAACCATAGTGAAGTATACCATCTTAGAAATGTAAATAAAAGATTTGACCTCATACCATACTGATGAATCCTGCATCACTGATTGGTGCAGTCTGTAATTGTATTATATTACTGCCGGATAGATGATTGTTGCTGGACTAAGGTGGTTGATATTCATTTTAATTTAATTATGTTATAAGATGACATTTACCATTTCACGCTCCACACTTTTCAAGATCTTTTGAATAAGTTGGAACTTACGATCTCAGGTTTATATGCTTTTTCACAGCATGTTCCTAGAATTAATGGAGAAATACCCTCTGTTGATGAAGCAATTTCAGATCATCAAAGGCTGCTAGACAGGTAATATTTTTAGTTTTTCCCTTGATAATGTTGAAGATATGCTTTACTGTTAACCTAATTGGTTGTCAAAGATTAGCTCTTCCTTTTAGTCTTCTGATAAATTAGTATTTTCCTAATTTGTTTTCAGCAATATGCACTATTGCCTTTTTTATCAGCAATATAAAAATTTTATTACTTGATTGAAATTGCTGTACAAAATATACAAGTGCCCTGTGCACCCCTTGTTTTGTGTCAGCTATCACTACCCACCCCTGTCTACAGCTTTTTCTTTTTTCTGTTATAGGTGTTCCCCAAAATAATTGATTTCTTCCTATGCATTGCCTTGCTAGAGTATTAGCCATGCTATTGGCTGATTTTAATACCCATTCAAATCTCGCATCCACCTCTCTTGTGATCAATTTTATCTATCTTACAGCATGTACATATGACCAAGGTCCCAAACAGTCATTCAGCAACCACCTGATTAGAGTTTTTGAATCCGCTTCCATCAGTAGGTTTGTGAAATTCAACCTTTTAGCCAATTTCATACCTTGCTGTAAGGCCAGTACCCTTGCCCTTAGTGAATCCCCAAATCATGGTTGTCGAGGCAACACCCAGTTGATAGGGAACCCATGGAGGATCACCTCAGTCAGGCGCCTTGCATGGCACTATTATATACTTTGTATTCTCAATCTTTTGAGATGATAATAATAAAATTAATATTATTAAACTAAATTATTCTTCTTCCTTTCACCCTTCTCTCCTTTCCCTAGGACAAAACAGGGGCTCAGCTCCTCTATTTTCCTGCCTTTTTTTTCTTATGAATATGTTGATTTTCTATGTTAATATGAAGTTTATACTTTTATGAAGATTATAAATAATTACTAGTGAAAGATGGTTGCTGGTTTCTATGGATCCTAGGGAATTACCCTAGGATTCATGGTTTTTATTTATTTATTTTTTAAATCCATTACCTAGGCAACTAGGGGACAAGGTACCCCCTGTTTCCTAGCCTTGCCTTGGCACCTTGAAAAGAATGCCCCAAATCCAATAGGCCTTGAAAACAGTGCAATGATATTTCGTTCACCTTTCCCTAATATATTGGAAACACTCAAGTTGCCTCGGTTTCCTAGGCATAAACCACTGAAATTGAATTTAATCATATTAGGTAGGGGTGGCGTCCACACCCTAGATACAGGCCTTCTGCTCAAGGATGATGGCACTATGCTTCATGCACCATTGTCTTCTTTAAGCTTTGTTAATTAGGATTTGGCTCTGGGCTTCTGGTTGGTTCAGCAGCATAAAAGGGGTGGTCGTCTTGATTTGTAGATCTTGTTCAAAATGAAGATCTGCGACCAGATTTATATTCTAAATTATGGGGTTATTGCAGGGATATTCTGTTGGGGTTTTGTATTTCTGTATGTTGTTTAATGTATTTTTTTTTTAACTTTTAAATGTCTTCTCTTTGTTTTTATTTTATTATTTTTTATTTATGAGATTCGAGGTTCTTTATGTACTACGGTTGATTGTGGAAAATGTTTCTTGTATAGATTGCAGTTATATGGTTTGGTTGAGCTCAAGGTTCAAGGAGATGGTAATTGCCAGGTTAGTTTGGGCCATTTCTTCTCATGCAATCACCATAGATCAGAAATGTTTTGTTTTATGTGATTGCAGAAGTTCTTTTAAGCAATGAAAAGAAAAAAGACTTGGATCTTTATAGTGTTCTTGAGTATAATCTTAGACTACCAATTGCATTTCATTGAATTGGCATGATGAGCCCTAAAAAAAGTTGAAAGAAGAACAAAAAAAGGGAAAAAAGAGAAAAATATAAATATATTCTGAATTTGTTTGCTCTTTGTAGCAGGATACAAAATGGTTATTTTGGGTAGGTTTGTAATCAGTTGGAATCCAGGGGTTTTTTTGTCATTTTACAATTTAGATTCTAGTCAAAGTCAATTTGAGTGCACCGTTGTTGGGTTTTGGTCCCTTGGGTGCTTTTATAACTAAAGTTATCTTTTGGGGTTGGTTGAAGATATTTTTGTCCTTAAGGAGTTGTTTGTGAAGGGGAACATGCTAGGGGCTTATGTGTGAATATCTTAGTTGGATTCTCCAACAAGTAATTGAGTCTTATAAAAGAGAAAGGAGCTATTTCCCTGGGGGTCTTGTTTTTTTCTCTTTTATTTGAACTGTGGCGGTTTTCAAGTACTGGGAGCTTGGGTTTTGAAGACTTGACCCATTAGGTGCCTTCCAATCCCTATATCATTGCATGTCCATGCCAAAGACCAGCTTGATGTCATTGCTGCTGTAGCAGAACAGTTCAGGAGGAATTCTGCCTCAAGTTCACTTCTGAAATCTACAAAAATCTTGTTTGTTTTTGTTGTTTTCAGTTTTGTATTGCCATGCCTACTGATCTTTTACTACTGCATATAACTTGCTTGTGTACCCACATCATGGCATCGATCTTTTTTTTTTTATTTCTAACCCAAATCTTTATTAATGTAAAATAGACTGTTTTATAGTACAGTATACGCTAAGCACCCCTTTTGAGGTAGAGGCTAGCCCAAGCTACTTAAGCTGAATTACAATCATATTCACTGTGAATGTAGCCATCATGGGGGGATGACCACCCCAATACATTCTATTTATCCCATATGTAGCTAGACTATTGGCTGAACTTTGGGTCTATGTGAATTGGCATCAATGTTGATGGATCTTACTAATGCTTTTTTCAAGACTGAACTTTTTTCTAACTAATAATCTAATTTCATTTTGCAAGTCTATGTAATCAGAACATTTTGGTTCAAAGATAACTAAATTGACTTGCATGTACTGGGATATCTCTAGGTGTTCCCTTAGCAAATATGATACTTGTGTTAGAACAGTAATTTCTAGATTGAAGTGCTAATACTTAATGGCGATCCTAAGCAGCTCCATAAGATTCCTCTGAGAAGTTCTATCATAGTTTAGAATCCATACATTCATTATTTATGCATATTCTGGTTTCTCTAAATATCAAATGAATACTTTTCCAATTTGTATACTGTATACAAACATGGGTCATGCTCATAGATTCTTGTTTTTATGTTTACTTTGAGTCTCTGAAGCCAGTTGTTGGTTCTGGGGCAATGTTGTGAAAAAAAAGTATTGTAAATCATACAAAAAGTTGAAACAAAATGAATCGTAAATTGTAATATTATTTCTTTTAATTACAAACTTGTCAAAAAATTAAGAATAGATATGATTTAAGAGCAGACCAAAAGGACATGGCTTGAGGTAGTAAAAAATGATTTAAGGGCTCATAACTTAACATAAGATATGGCACTGAACACGATGGAATGGCGAAATAGGACCATGTCATCAACCCCGTATAGTTGGGACAAGGCTTAGATGATGATGATGATGATGATGATACACTAAAAATCTAAATATATATGGAAAAGTGATTTATGCTATTTTTAATCCATGTCTACTATATATGTACATAAAACAATAGAGTTTACCACTTGCAATCAAGTTCAACCTGAAAGTCAAATAATCTACATGCAATGACTCTACCTACATATCATTCCCTGTCTAGTAGTGGGAAGTTCCTTTGGCATTCCACTAGGGATGATATTCTTTTTTTTTTTTTTTGCAAAGATAAATATTTCTCATCTACACTAGGGCTGCTATTTTTTGGAGTACCTGGAGTTAACACATAATAGAAGAATTTTTGGAAATAGATGCCAAGAAGCAAATTGATCTAGGGAGCAAAGAATTTAAAGCAGATCAGGAATGCTTTTGTAGATTTTGAAGGGAAGTTTTGGTTTAGAAGTTTCTTTTACAATTATCCTTGGCCCCAAGAGAAAATATCTAGCTCCTCTCCTCAATTGTTTTTATTAGGAAAACAACAGTATTGTTCTAACAAAGTGATTTTATGCCATGAAAGTGTTGAATTTTCACTTTTTTTCTTGCATGCATTTCATGTAACATGCATAGATTTTTTGCAGTGCTTGTTGCTTCATATAACTAGGTCCCAGTTAGCAGAAATGCCTATTATGAATAGAGAAGCTTTTTTTATTCATCAAAAAAATAGAGAAGCTTTTTTTATTATAACATCCACATGCCAAAATTTGTTTTTCATAGATATAATTACATGTGAAATCAATTCCAATGGTATGACTGCATGTGAACATAATGAGCCACTATCTCATATATGTGTATGGATATGTAAATATACAAGACCCTTTTTTACTAAAATGATCCATTTTGAAATTGATCACTCAAAATTTCAACTGTTACTTGTCCAGTATTGGTTTATTTACAATTTAAAATTGTTATTGCTTTGTTCTATTCGGATATCTTTGAACATGTTTTTGAGTTAGTGTCATTGGTCCAACCATGTTGATGTACTGCACTAAAAAGGTTAACCGAGTTACTTAACATCTAAAAATTGTCTTACCAAAATACTTCTTGTAATTTCCTCAAGTTATTGATGACTTGGTTTAATTCAATATGCTACTTAAAACTTCTAACATATTTTCTCCCAGTTTCGTGCCTTATCAGATCAATTCTATCGTACTCCTGAGCACCACAAGTTTGTGAGACAACATGTTGTTAATCAGGTTTGTCATTATTTATTACTTCAACAACTAGATATTGACATCCTTCACAGTTAATTTGAATAGGGTGTTTCATGTGCATATTAGTTTCAATCTTTGATGCATTTAGCTCCTGACATAGTTTGTCCACAATTTTTTACTTCACCAGCTCAAGTCTCATCCGGAGATATATGAAGGATATGTTCCTATGGCTTATAGTGACTATTTGAAGAGGATGTCCAAGTAACAACTCTACTCCTTTTCTTTGTTTGCTTTTCCAAATGCTTGAAGTTTTCAGCTGAAACTTGAACCTGTTTTCTTGATCATTAATGTTGATGAAATAGACCTGGTGAGTGGGGTGATCATGTCACATTACAGGCTGCTGCAGATTCGGTATGGAATAGCAACTTGCTCCCACCTTCCTCTGACTCAATTTCGTTTAATTTTTTGTCCCTTCTAGTTATTGTGATTATCTGACATGGTTGGGGCTTAGTGTTATTGTTTCTTGCTGTTTTATTGTTTTAAAGATTCCATCCCGTGCTTACATATATAGTTTCACTTGATATTCTTCAAAGTGGTTTGCAGAGATTAGATTTAATTCCAATGAAGATATGGAAATTTTCAATTCGAACTCTAAGTCTAATCTTTTTTGAAAGTCTCTAAAAATAATGATTAACAGCACTATGAAAAAAAAAGATGTTTCATAATGCTATCATGACCAAGTAAATCTTGATTAGTTGTCATAGTGCATGCCTTATCCCAACTATATGGGGCCGGCTACATGAATCCCATTTCACCAGTCCATTCTATTTAAAGCCATATCCTATTTTTTAAATTATTAGTTCTTAAATAATTCCTTACTACTTCTACCCATGTTTTTTTTGGTCTACCCCGAGCTCTTCTAGCCCCTTCAATGTGTTGTAACAAATCACTTCTTCTAACTGGGCGCAGTTGGTGGTCTTTTATGCACATACCCAAACCATATTAATCTACTCTCTCTCATTTTATCACCTATTAGAGCTACTCCTATGTTCCTATGAATAACTTCATTCCTGATCCTAATCTTTCTAGTTTTTCCACTCATCCATCTTAGCATTTACATTTCTGCCACATTCATTTTTCTGGACATATTGTTTTTTGGCTGCCTAACACTCTGCTCCATACTCACAATTGTTATATAGAATTTTCTCTTTAGTCTAAATGGTATTCACCTATCACATAAAAGTCCAGATGCACCCCTCCTTTTTGCCAATCCTATTCTAATTCTTTAGGTGATATTCTCCTCAACCTCTCCCTTGTTATGAATTATTGAACCATGGTACTGGAAATGGTCACATGGTCACATTGAGTTATCTCTTGGTCTCCAATCCTAGGTGTATCTTGATTTACACTCCTTGCTAAATTTACTGTCATATACTCTGTTTTAGTCCTACTTATTTTTTGAAACCTTTTGTTACTAAGGCATTTGTCCATAAGCTTAATTTTGCATTTAATCCTTCAGTAGTTTCATCAATTAAAACAATATAGTCCGCAAACAACATGCACCATGGAACTTCCTCTTGAATATGTTTAGTCAATTCATCTAGGATCGGTGCAAATAGATAAAGGTTTAGTGTTGAACCTTGTTGAAGACCCATGGTAACTGTAAAACCTGATGTCTCTCCCATTAGTGTTCTAACATTTTTTGCTTCCTGATACATATCCTTAATTAGGTCTATATTACCTAACCCCTTTCTTTTCCAAGGCCCACCATATTATCTCTCTAGGAACTCTATCATATGCCTTTTCTAGATCAATGGGCACTGTATGAAGATCTTTCTTCTTCTTTCTAAACTTTTCTATAAATAGTCTCAAATAACTTCCATGGTTGATTTCCCTGGCATAAAGCCAACTTGGTTCTCTAATACACTTGTTTCAAGTCATAATCTTTATTCAATTATTTTCTCCCAAAGTTTTATGGTGTGGTTCACAAGTTTATCCCCCAATAGTTATTATAACTTTGTATATCACCTTTGCTATTATAATAATACAGGCACAATTACTGATGGGAAAACCCATGAAATTTGGACTACAAAAGTTTTATTATATATGTTATATAGAGAAGGATGAATAAAGAACTAGACCAATTACCTTCTGTAGTTTTCAAAATTAAAAAGCCTTGAATCCCTTCAAAATAGAATACCAAAATGATACCCAGCTTTCTATTTTAGTGATTTCCATTAGGTTTTGATGGATTCTATCCTTAAAAGACATGATTGTTACATTCCTTCAATAAGCACAAATTTAGGGAGCTCCTCCTCTTGCAAAAACCTTTCACTGGCCGCATTTATATCATTGATAATCCCCTGTTGAGTTACCCATTCTGTTCCAAGATGAGCTACAAAATGGAACCATATTTTGCTAGCTAAACTTCATTTACTTTATATTTGCCTGATAAGGACCATTACTTAGTTTAATGGTAAAATCCCATGCTTTTTTTTTTTTGCCTGATAAGTATGAAATAAGGACAAAATAATTATTAGCATTCTTTTGACCTGAAATAAGAGAAACTTTGGAGAAAAGCTTCTCTTGGATAACAACATTTAAATATTTTATTTTCTTTATACTTCTCTTGGCTAATGAAACCTTTATGTTATCTGCTAGTTGGACCTTTTTCTCTTGAATTTTCATGCATTTCCATGTGTATCGTGAGAAACTGCAATGTTTTATTTATTCGTTTTCAAATACTGAGTTTATTGAACACTAGACGAGCATAACTAAGCATTTTGATTAGAGCTTTTATTTCATTGGTGGCAAATGCTATTGTCAAGTGCAGTATGGCATTAAAATATTTGTGATAACATCCTTCAAGGATACGTGTTACATTGAGATTCTTCCAAACAGTCAGAAATCAAAACGAGGTAATCTTTCAAGCATTTTCAAACTTTTTTTTTCTCTATATAATGATAAAGATAGTGTGTTAGTGGTTCCTTTTTAAGAACAAATCTATTGTAAATGTAGCTGGTGACTTATACTGAGGTTTTCAGTCTTTTTATGTTGCAAGACATTATTTTGAGTTTTGCTTTAAGGGGACAGTTTTGTTTATGGATGGCTTTCTTCTCACATTTAAGTGGACTCACCATTAATGTTGCCCACCTAAGAGATCCTATTGCTGAAGTCAGTATAGTGAGGTGACCTTTTGATCAACTGACTAATAGATCATTACATGGGATCTATTGAAATCAGTATTAGCGGAACTCATTTTCATTATACGACACTACTTACCATAATTTTGTCATTATGGTGCCTAGGCATTGATTGGTTGACCAAAAAAATATGTTCTATATTTTATTATATTGATACTATTTCATAAGTTAATATAGATTGTACATATGCAATAAAGGAATGATATTGAACATCTAGTTTGCTACCTTTGCTTTGCTAACATAAGAAGTTTGGCTGGATAGGCTTGGATAGGTAGTTACAGCCTTAGTTTTTCAAAGAAAGAGTGCAGCCCTGACTATTTGATGTTCCCCTTGCTTGCAGCAATTCTGTACCAGCATACTACTTATTGGAAGTTAATTTAAAAGAACTTCTCCTTGACTTTCTTCTTTTGTTCTATGGCTTATTTCTATTTTATGCACAGTTACTCAATCACGTTCCGTGAGACCTAGAGCAACAAGATGCATATACCCAATTAATTTAAATATGGTACTATTTTAATTTAAATATGGATAAATGTAAAGAAATAAAGATTTAAAATAACTTTTTGGTTTAGTGGTTGTTAATCGACTTGTTGACTTAGTGTATGCTCAGTAGTCCCAATTCCCAAGTGACTGCATCATGAATGTCAATGCCTAGGCTCCTCAAACATTTTGGCAACAAGGACATGCCCTGTTGGCTAGTATCACCTCACCACTCTGATGTAATGGGTTCTCTTGACTATGGATCTGGACCTAATATTTTTCTTCCATGTACCTATTCTGGGTTTAGGCTTAGAGGTTTATTTGATCTTTGGTTTTTGTAGTGTTATGGGTGTTACTATTGCCTTATCTTGGATTTTATCCTATATGGTTATCCCTTTGTGTCTTTGTTTATAAGTAACTAAGTATACATATTGGCATTCGGTCCCCATATTTCTTGGTTGATTTGTTTGTATTTAATGATCAGCACTTGCATTATATATTTTCTTTTGCCAAATTGGTTACACAACTATAATCCATGTTATAATGCATAAGCCTCAGAATAAACATGCTCGCAGAAAAGATTCCCGTTTACATTTTAATTTTGAATTTTATTTTATGTATATTTTTGATTTATTAATAACAACACAACTATTGATGGAAAGCATAAATTAGTTTAGGCAATATTAAACAATCAAAACAAACACTAGATAAATAAAATAATTCATAGTTCATTGTAGTAAAATTAATAAAAAAGTGGTAATAACTTAATAATATTAAACTTGTTTCACAAGTTACAATTCATGCCCATTTCTACAATAGGTCTTTGTTCATGTTCATGTTCATGTATGATATATCTTTGATTTCAAGTAGTTCTTATGATATAGGCTTCAATACTCCTAATACCCTTTTCTTCCCTCCATAGCATCATGTTGCATTTTATTTCTGAAAGCTTAGGTTAAACTTTATTGACAATGTGCATCTTTTGCAGTTATTTTCTTGAGCTTTTGGGCAGAGGTGCACTACAACTCAATATATTCAGAAGGAGGTAAAAGTCCACATATTCTTCATATCCTAAATTTATGAATTGCATATTTTTCTGGCTAAAAATGGTTAAAAGAAAGAACCAGTTTCTTGGTGCAGTTGATGGTAGTACTTATAGTTGCTAAATTAGAATTGTATCTCATGCATTTGGACCACTAAACCAGGGGCTTGCAGGAGGCCATTTCATCAACTCAGATGTTGTTTACAACTGGAAAAATACTGACATGCACACATACACCAGATAGATCAGATAAATCATTGATGTTTAAGTTACAAAAATGCACAGATTTTCATGTAATATTAATAGTGCATATAGAACTAAAAAGCAATGTTCAGAGAACCGGACCAGGCATAGAATTGGAGAAGGGTCAGAGTTTCAACCAGGGTCTAACCATGATGACGTGGCATATATATATATATATATATATATATTACAGGTCATATAAATACTATATATAATATATTTTACAACTTTTAATATACTAAATTATGGTGTATGGATGGAAAGTTTCTTAATTTTTGAAGCAAATAACTTGGGTACAAGTCTCTTAATTTACATTTTCTTTAAAATACATGCATAATAAAGTAATATATACAATAAAGAGTCATTAATTAACACAAATTAAGAGGTGGAGTAATGGTAATTAAGCAATATATGAAAATAAGAGGTCATAGGTTCAAATTTTGCTAAACACATTTTAAAATTTCAATTGGTTAAAGACCTAGGCGGTTTCATGAAACTGGGATCAGTTCACCACTTTTCCGGTTAAACTGGAAAGGCTGCCAGTTTTCACCGGTTTTTAACAAAAGTGGTTATTGAGATAAAGCCGAAGCAGCCAAGGTCCTGGGTCATGGTTCAACTGGTCCAACCAGCCGATCTGGCCCGTTTTCTAAACACTGCTAAAAAGAGGTAGATCCACTTGATTGGCCAAGTTATTGATGTTCATTTCCTGGAAGCAATAAAACCTCCATTCCTGTGGTACCTTTATTTATATATAATAGCTTTAATCATCATCTAGGAAAACAAAACCAGCCAGAGACCTTACCAACAGGTCAGTTGGCACCAAGGTTCAAAGTATCAATACTCTCAATACGTAAATTTTGTGTATCAAGAGTTTTTTATTGAGTGAAACTCTCTTTTTATTTTTGCATTTGGTAATCTGACAGGTCCCCTGACACATCATTGGTTACTGTTTCAAATAATTCAAATCATGTTAATGCTTTTATTTAGCATATCAGTCACCCTGAAAATCGATACTTACTGGTCGATATGCACCAATATGTTCCAATATCAGTGCCGTGCTCGTATTAGGACCAAAAGTATTATTTTGCATAACTTGGTGCGTTTTGACGGTCACTGAGTTTGTGGAATCTGAAGGCTAACTGATGGATAAATTATAGGAGATAGCATTGAAAGTGTTTTGTTTGGTTTCTTAACAATGATGTTTACATATTTATTTCTGGTTTGCTTACAGAGATGCCCATATTTGAGACCAAGAAGAAGAAAAGGTGGTGGACTTGGAAATGAGCATTTGGATGAACATATATATCAGTGATGAATGATGGTTCTAAGCTACATCAATTTCTCTTTGCCTCCTGTAGAAGCAGCTTCAACTCTTTGCCATTTCTTTTTTCCTTGTGATGTATAAGATGCACATTTCACTTCGTTTCCTGATCACGAATCCTGCTTCGGCTCTTTGCCTTGCTTGTACGTCATGTCTTTGTAGGCTACATTCTTTTTTTGTATATTCTTTTCAATGTGAAACTACACATCCAGCTAGTACCAATTTTCGCTATCATTTCCCCCTCTCTTTGTACCACCGGTCGGTTGATGTTGTGTTTAGCTTTGCCTGTTTAGTAAAGTGCATACAAACGGCATTTGCAAAATTCTTAGAATGTTCAGTTCCAGACTTCCAGTGATTGCTTTGTCTAATATGGAGTTTAACTTAGGTTCTTTTAGTATTTCAAATTCTGACCCTTCTATAATTTTACAGGCTTACCACTAGTCCTTCCGTTCCTAATATAATGCATTTAATTCCTTTCAACTCCTAATTAAGGGTCCAGAGATATCCTACACTCTACTCCTGCACTTCGATTTGTCCATTCAGTTCTTTTTGTTGCCATATCCTTTGTTAAATTATTAGCTCATCATCTTGTTCTGTTTAATGTCATATCTATTGTTAAATATAAGCTCTCAAATCATTTCTCACTACTTTGACCCATGTTCCTTAGCCCTTTTAGCCCCGTCAACTTGTAATTAATCACTTTTTATGGGTGTTGTTAATGGTTTTTTATGCACATGACCAATCTAGTCTACTTTTTTTTCTCATTTTATCACCTATTGGAGCTATTCCTATGTTTCTTTGAATAACTTCATTTCTATTCCTATCCTTTCTATTTTTTCCCATTTAGTTATCTTGACACATCTATATCTACTATACTCATTTGTTGGAATATTGTTTCTTGAGTGCCTAACACTTTGCCCTATATATATATAGCTGACCTTACAAGTAGACCTGTTCATGGGCCGGGCCAGGTCGGGCTCAGGCCGAGCTTTTATTCATCATTAATGGAAATACGCTAGGCTTGAGCTCGAGCCCGAAGCCCAACCTAATAAAAAAATTACAATTTTCTCTATTCAAATTAGAATTAAAAATTCAGATGGTTTTTTTTTTCCTATTTAAATGAACAATGGGCCTACAAGATGGTTTTTTCCCTTTCAAATGGACATAATCACATAACCCTTTTTAAGTCTAATTTTAGGTCGGGCCGGGGCTGGGGCTGGGCGGGCTCGAATTTATTGCGGGCTGGGCTTTTTGGCCCGAGTTTAAGCCTGCGGGCCTATAAACATATTCAAGCCCGTCTGGGGGCCGGGCCGGGCCGGGTTTAAGCCCGCAGGCTTAACCTTGGGTCTAGCCCAACCCAAGGTTAAGCCTGTTTATTAACCCAAGCCCAATCCTAGCTTGACCCAGCACAGCTTGGGCTGGGTTCGGGTTTGGATTGAGCTTGAGTGTGTTGGTTGGATTTGAAAGAATTTATTTATACAATTTTATATTGCCATCTTTCATTGGGCTTTATGGCTCAATTTAAGAGTATAACTAATATCTGTACAAATTTTATTTACAAATGTATATATATATATATATATATATATATATATATATATATATATATATATATATATAT